TACTCGGAAATTACCTACAATTTGGCACGATTTAACATCGGAAGCTTTCTAAGTTAATCATCGACTGAGTAAGCAGAGATTTAACATGAAACAACACTAAATCTCATTAATAATGGAATCAATCCCGCTATGTTATTTACGATATGATCCTTGATTTTATGAAATACATATTATCTAACAGTGGCGATCGATTGAATGATCTTTCGTGATCAAAGTGTAGCTCATAACATCTTCAGAAGATTCTTTCGCGAGCCGATGCTGCACCGGAAGTCTAACAGTTTACTTTTCTGTAGCACAACACTTTAAATTACCAGTTGAGAAAATTAAAGATATATTTACGAGCGATAAACATTTTGCATATTGAAAAGGTATTCGCAAATTACAAATGCATCAACGATTGGCCCTAATGCTTGATCCTCATCTTTACTCATGACTTTCATCTCATTATGTAGAGCATTAAACTTGTTGTTTTTTCCTATCAGGAATTAGAAGTTAACGCAATCTAATAAAGGAGTGAACTTAAGAAACTTCTAATCTCTTTCATTAATCCCAGTGATCAAACTCCTCCCTTAATCCCACTCGATGCTCTTTTAAGATACTAAAGACGGACCAAACTTGTTTGAATCTGCACCATTAATTCACTTCGAGTTTATTCCATGGACAAGAGGAAACCTCTGTTATTCTCACTGAATTGTATTCCGGCTTTTGTTCATTAGAGGAATTACAAATACGATAAAGCTTCTGCATCGCAAAATGTGGTGTTTAATTCAGCAGAAGGAACGTACAATTGGTTTGAACAGGCCTACTGACGTAAGAATTTAAGTTGCTTCATCGCCCTTATAATAGCTTTACAAACACACCTATTCATTAAAAGTATTCCGAAAGAGCTTCAATGTTTCGGGCATGTTATTCGCGGAGTCAAAAGTTGATAGATTTATTAAATAAGCTTACATATCAGCAAAATAAATGCTTCAAATAGGCACCATATAATGTAATAATAACCAGTCTGTCGAATAATTGTGTTGCTTTTCACCTGTAGACCAAATATGCATATTTATTCAAATGAAGCAATATCATTTTATGATTTATTGTTTTTTTAGGTCACATATACTTGTACGGTAATGCTTCCAAGACTTGCTACAGTTACAGAGAAATTAAGCAGTATCAATATAGGGATAGTAATGTGACATATATATAAACAAAGCAAAGTTAATTTGATAAGCTGCCAAAGTCAACCGGTAACTAGTTTTGTTAACAGCCGGTACCACAACTTTGGTAGTCAGTCGCATAACCAGGCCCGACCCCCAACTTAGAACCTCCATATTAGGCAGAAGGTGGGTCTGTCAGGCAAATTTCGCCTTCAATGAGAGCGTAAGAAATTCTCTTCGCTGCTGCTCATCCCACACTTACAGGCCACAGACTCTAAATGAATTCTGTTTGACCCATGGCTGATCGGTATCATCATTTCTGGCGACCAGAGACCAAGGCTGCAGCTCTAGAGGCCTGAAAATTTGACTGGTCTTCAGAATGCTACCCGTTAATATTACGCGGAATGGGAAATAATAATAATATAAGAGATAATAATAATTAAAAAGGTCGGGTAGTTGATAAATGGCATAATAGCCTAACGCATTATGACAGCCACAAAAAACTTCGGGACTCAAGAAATATATCTATTTTTTAATGTTAAAAGTATTAAGATGCAGCTATACTGTTTTGTAATATGTAAATTTCTAGCACTGTACACAAGACATACTTTATAATGAGAAAGATCAATTATGCCCCAAGATTAGCAGTAGCCTCTTATTTGACAGCTTGTTAGGTTGAGAGACATTAGGATTTTTTGGAAGCAGGAGACTTGAAAAATGAGTATTGCCCTCGCTGGGAATCGAACCACGGACTTCTTGAATATACGCCGAGCGTGCAGATCACTATACCACGAAGGCACGCTAAGAAGGCGTAAGGAATACCTCATAAGGTAAATACAAAGCAATGACATTCTGTCGTAAGAATGATCACAAGTACAAAGAAGAGCAATTTGTAAAATCATATTAGCTAAAATTATCATAGTATTATAGCGTTACTGTGATATAACGTAACGTAACATACCGAAATTATTATGATAAGAACAGGAAAGCCTCGAATGTAGATGTTTCTGAAGTTAAAATAATGTCTTTTAGATAAGCAAAACCTTAGGAGTTGCAACCATTTAAATTCGTTTTACTACATAAATGATTACATGTTGTTTCTAAACCTAGAATCGAATCGTTTGGAAAAAGCATAAAATATGGCTTTTTAACGTCTAAATATTTACCAAACACAAACTGAAAGCCAATCCAGTTCATTTATGCAAATCCCAGAGCTTAATATAACATTTATTCGCCGACATAAAGAATCATAGAGCTGAAATAAATCCTTTAGCTCTGAATCTATTCTGCGATTGATTCTAAGGAAAAAAAAATTGGAACAAGATAACGCAGATTTATTCAGGGAATTAAGGAATACAACATGTATAATAATGAATGTTCGACAAGAAATCCAGCCCGCACTTTATGCAAATTTTTCAGCACTGGCAATTAGCCTAGGAAACAGATTACTTTCAATTTAATTATATCACTTAAGCCGAGCGTACCAATAATGCAATTTCCCAAGGAGAAATGACTTCCTTTATGAGAGATTAAAGCAGAATTGTACAACTTGTTGGACATTTTTTATTACCTTTTAATAACTTATAAACGTACAATGCAAAAGACGCTGTTGAAATTCATCATCTGAAAGCTCTGTTCAATACCTTTTGATTTCCATATTTCGTCTGCAGAACATATTTACTTTGAAAAAGCTCTTACAAATTTTGTGATTCTAATTCTCTTTGAGATAAAATGGGAATACCACAGCTGAGGTAAACATTAAACACATCGTACATTTAAGTAGTTATATTTTTAAATAAAATATTCTTGTAACGAATAGAAAAATGTAAGAGATGTATAAAAAAGTCGAATATGTGTTCCAAATGTTTGTATAGGGAAAAATTAAATCGTTCTTGAATTACTGCGAGAATAAAGAAAATTAATTAGTAATACAAGATATTTGTCTCATCAAATCTCGAATTAAACATTTGAGATCGTTTGGGGATTATTTAATTCAAATTCCGGTTTATAAAAATTCTTTTTATTGAGTGAATGTATGTGAAATTATTAACTGTAACTGTAAAGTATAATTTATTTCCTAGGGAATGGAAGTTTAGATTTGTATGCAGGTATTTATATTGCGCATTCTCGCAGCTCTTGGGTGTAGAATTCTACCTTTTGTACATTCCTGAACCTCCTTATAATTTCGATAATTAAAAATTTTAAGAGTTCAGTAAATGATGATATACAGGGAAGCTTCTCAAAGATTATTACCCACTATTCGAGATAATAGTAGTCACCTGTGAATGCTGATGATCACTTCCAGATGAGGCTGTTTTATGCAAGTGATACTCTTAAAAAGATTCTTTTATATTAAATCCTCATAAGAACAAGGAAACTAGGCATCAAAGGAACGTTCTCTCGAAAACAGCTGATTATCTTAATTTAGTAGTGATCGCCAGCGGAAAAATTTCTTGTAAAACAGAAATAGAAATGAGGATAGATAGAAATAAGGATACAAATTGTGTAGATTTATCATGCATATATTATTAACAGCAGAAGACTGTGCGAAGATTAGCTATTCCAAGTTTAACAGGCAGCGAAAGATTGAATCAAACTTACAACAACGAATTATATCACATTAAGTCAATTCAAATAACGATCATTGTATTAGCGGGCAGTGCTTACTCTTCTTCATATTAATTAATCCACATCTGATTCAGAAGATAGACTAATTTGTGACGCCCTGATCGATATAATGATTAGCGATGCTGCCTGCCGTATCGTTAGGCTTGGCTTCAAAGCTCGGATAAGGCGTGGATGTTTGTAAGTGTATAGTGTCTGTGTGTCATAGGGAAAATTGAAATACATGACGACCCGAGTCCTCTCGAGCTGTTTGGTGATAGGGGAAGAACGATAGAAGATCCATGGGTAACTTCCTTGGGTAACCGTCCCCTGGGAAACTCTCCTTCGAAATCCAGATGGGGATGTCGTACTGCAAGATGTTTAAGCTCCCATACCATGTATAAAGTGGATCACAGGAGACTAATACGCTGTGAAAAACAGCACAGGATAGAGGGAGGATTCCATGAACATTAAAAATGATTGTCTTCAAAGTTACGATCTAAGTATAATCAAGTCTATCGAAGTGTAATCTTGAAAGTTATAAGTTATAATCATTATAATCTCGCTAGACAAGTCCTCAGCGTAAAATGATAGTTGAAAATGGTTGCCATTTTTGTAGAAGTGACATTGTTTTACTGAAAAACCTTTTTTTTTATTGTTTAAGTTTCTCATTTAAAACAAATTTCGTTTTTGTGTTCGATCTGTTTTCGCTTAAAAAAATAAGAGAATTGTCCTCATTCGGCATCACGAACAGTCTTGGAATAGTGTATATTAAATATTGCATATTTATTTACGACACAATATAAAGAGGGTATATCATCTAGCGCTTTGGCATACATTTGAAAACTGTTATTCTGTTAAAAGAAAAGTACCTAATCCTCTTTATGTATCCGTTAAATGCTAACGTTCTGTTTACGTTTTGATGGTTTTCGGTTTATAATACTATATATTCCTAAATGAAATTCAGAAAGAAATTCCAGATGTCTTAAAACAAAAAATATTATTGCGGTAAATTTTAATTTAATTTAAGAACAATGATTTAATTTAACCTTTTGGCAAGTAGGGATGTTATAATTTAAGAAACAAAATGAAATTTAATAAAGTGTTAAAATTCTTTTTATTACGCTAGCCTACAGTTTGATATTTTTGGATTAGAAGTTAATTTTTAAACTGTTACTTAAGTCACAGAAAAATAAGCCTTGTTAATTATTCTTTTTTAAACATTTTATGTTTTTCTTTGCGTTTCAGCAGCAATGGGAGTAGACTTACCCGACTACATCTTGCACTACAGAGGAAAATCTCCAGATCTTGGATCTTTCCGAGAAAGAATGCAACTTAGTGGTCGAAGGTAAGTTCTTTGCAAAAAATTCCATGTCTCCCTCAACACCTTTCCTATTTACCCTCATTCAAGTAAAGAAATCCATGCGCGTTACATTTTGCGTAACACTACAGTGAATTTTCAATTATATGAGCTAATTTATGACTGACTGTGTCAAAAAAAAATCCGAAAGGTTTCAGATTTTAAATTACGTCCAAAGAGGCATTTTTTTAACGTTTTGTGTGTTACCTTTATTTATTAAATATCATGTTCTTTGCACTTAAATCATAAATTCAGTTCAATAGCAATGTCGCAAAATAATTTTAAAATGAGCCTATCTTTAGAATTTCCGATACACAGTTCCGCACGCTGGAGATAAAAAGTTTTTTTCCTCCCGTAGAGTGTTGCCATTGCTGGCTTTGAAATCCTTGAGTTTGTTAATCGAAATTTCGTTAAAGTTTTACAAAATGTGCAATCGACAATAAACAAATTCCAAATTTCAAATTTGGTCTTTACATGCCCATATTCGTAGGAGGATTACATCATTTAAAATTCGATGGTTCTATGTACCGTTGTTTTATCACAATGCGAGAAATATGCATACATTTATACAGATTTTTCATTATTTAATTTCTTCAAATATAATGCAGGACTCTAACATTTGGTGGCAACAAGTTGAAAAGTGAAACGGACATTTATAGTGATTTCAACGCAAAATCGCAAAACGAAAACAATAGTCCTTCAGGGACAAAGCCCCTTTGGACTAAAAAAAATCCATTATGTGAAAAAACCCTTACATATTGTTAAAAAGCTTTAATTCTTCCTTTAAATTTAATACGTTTAAAATGCGATTTAATAGAAAAAATGACAAAATTACTTTAGGTTCTAATTTTTAATTATTTTCTGTAAAAGTTTCATTTCTTTATTTTGGAAAACATATTTATATTCGTTTCGACGACTGTGTGAATCTCTCTTAAGAGCTTTGAAAACAAAACTCTTTTCTTTTCACGGCAACAAGTTTCCGAATATTCACTGGTGAGGAAGCAACTTTCTGACAATGCTTTTCTTAAACACAAAGAGATTGTCATAAATTTCAACAGTTATTTCGTTCTTCTAATTTTATCCTTTTCTATTTGACCACATAACTCCTCAAATCTTCATAAAGTTGCTTCAAACAATGGTTATATTGGTAGCCCGAAATTGATATTAGTTCCGAATGGGATATTAGTCTGGAAATGGTATTTTGCCATCAATCAATGTAAACAGCGTATCACTTTTCAAACTGTTGCCACCAAATGTTATCGATCTGTATTATATATAAAGAAATTAAATAATGAAGAATCTGCATGAGCGTAAGTGCGATAAAGCTAAGAAAAAAAATGGAAATATACGAAGGACTGTAACAGCAGACTTGTAGACTGCGAGCTCAACGAAAGCGTATAGAACCTCAACAAACCCTTTTGGGTCACCATTAAAATCTGAATAATTTCGAAACATTTTGGATAAATATTTATTTCTTGCGCAGTGCCCTTAATGTCACTTCTTAACACCACAATTATAAAATGTATTGCGTCATAGGCTCCAATTTCCGTTATAGATGTTCTTCGTTTTCAAGCATTGTTTAACAACTAGATCATAATTAATTCAACTAAATATTGAAGTCATAATTAATTATGCACTATGTCTTTAATTAGTGGAACAAATGCATTAAATGTGGTCTGGACGTTGTCACAAGATTTACAATATGATATTGAACTGTAAAACCTGGCTTCAGGGAATTTAAAATAAAGTTAAGTTAAATTAAGTTACTAATTGATTAAGGCGAAGCAACTGGAGAGATATCTGCCTGTGAAGAGCGATGCTTTTGTAGAAGACTTCTTAGAGGAAACTGGCTCCTCTCCACGTTACACTTGGGCAAAACACGAAAACAAAACTATTCAGCAATTCCGTTCGCCGAGATTCGAAACCATTGCGAACTATCAGTGTTCAGCGAATTAACCGACTTTAAAAGAATATGAAGTTCTAAGGAAGATTGGAATGAATGAAGTAATAGAAGCAACTCTGGCTTCACCGACTAAAAAGAGATTAGCCCAGAAAGTGAATTAGATAACACATTTAAAAATAAATTCACAAATGTCTCGTCAAATTGTGAGCCTGAAAAAAATCATTTTCAGTTAAGTTATAGGATTTATAAGGCAAAATGATAAAATTCGAACGCAGTATAAGATTAAAAAATATATGTATTAAGTAAATTTTAATTATTTTATTAATGGAAAGTGTTTTTTATAATTTCCAATTATTATTTTATTAATTATTAAAATTTTTATTAATGTGAAAGAACAGCTCAAAGGAAAAAAATGACTCACAGGAACTCGGATCGATTTCTTGTATCCCATGGAGGAAGCCATGAAAACTCTCCTGCAATTAGTCCTTTCACTATGAAATGAGGCCCACATCGAACTACACGTGTTTAGTTGTTTTACAGCTCGGCAGCCAAGGGCCTTGTCTTTCTGAAATTTGTAATTCAATTGAGCCCGCTAATTGCAAGTAGCTTAAAGCATATTACTATTTTATCATTTTTTTACTTAACGCATCTGTCTTATGCGTTCAATGCATAAGACAGATGATATGTATTAACCCAGATGAGATGTAGTGATATGTCAGAATATTTATGACCACATGAAGTTAGTGTAATTTATGTCACCCTAAAATAAATGAGAAGTAAATTAGCTTTCTGTATAGGGGAATTATTTAAAAAATTTATTATATTATGACACAATTTATCAAAACTTAAATTTTCATCAACTCAACTTTTCAGTTTATCTCTCCATATTGACACCTAACATATGAATATTTCGCGGTTTGATGTCTTCGGGCCTAAGTGGATCAACTAGGGCCTTTTCAAATTTTCAGAATTGAGTTTTAAAAATTTCAGAAACCGCCAAATAGCACTATATCTCTAATCGCGTTATTTTTATGGTTTTTATCTGCCTGTCTACAAAATGTGATCGGCTGCATACTGTTTTCAGAAGAATTGAAGGTTCAAAGCTGGAAGCCCTCTCTTGCAAAATAAGAAAAATAACTCTTAAGTCTGTTGTTTCAACAAATAATGAGCAAAATAATGAATGGCAGACTTTAAAAAAATATTAAAATGATACTACTTTAAAAGTAAGAGCACAGCTATAAGTGACAAGAACAACACGTTTGACTTATCGGTAATAACTAAGTAAATTTGGCTCATGTAAATTTCTGCAGAAAATAGTTTGGTGCGTATTGTCTTATAACGGTAAAAATTTATTTTTCAATTTTTTATTTTTAATGCATTAAAACTAAATATGAATATTTTATTGCCATAAAGCAAAATGTTTAGTCATTTTCTGTTCAATGAAAAATAAAGAGTTGTTTTTAAAATAAAATAATAATATTAATATTACATAACTTTTTATTACATTTTTCTCACTTAGAATTCGTAAAAGTTTCTTTTTTTGTTTTAATGAAATAATTCAAAAATATTGCTGTTTTCATATACCACGAAAAAATGTAAAAACTGGTGAATAAACGACAATATGCTTCATTTCAAAGAGGAAAAAAAAAAGTAAGCCGGGATTATTGTTGTTTTGTATATTTAGAATACTCATAGTTGGGATTAATGGCAGTAATAATACGATGATTTATATAATCAAGTAATTGCTATTTGTTTAATCAATGGATTGTACAGGCTTTTCAGTTTTGTTACATTAAATTTACAAATTATATTCAGAATACATTATTGGGAAAAAAAGTGTTCACAATTCTTCGTTCTTAAACGAAATGTTAAGCTATTTAAAACTCAGCGAGAACCTTGTTCAATATTCGAATCCCTTTGAATGCATCTCTTGGGGTATGCAAAATGGACAGATGGTAATATATTTACGGTACTACTGTTATAAATTTACATTAAAACCTAATTATGGCTCTCCTGATATGCCTTACACATTTTTTTTTGCCCTTTCTGACTTTTTAAAATCTCTGGCGGGATATCATCAGGGACATCAAGACCGCCTAAAATCTTTATAAGAAACGGAACAACTGCATGCTTCCCTTTTGTAGTAATTAATTTTAATAAAACCCCTAAATTAACATATGCAAGATGCCGTCAGAGTAATTCAGATGAAGTAACTTCAAACAGGAATTATGTTTTTTTGGTAAACAAGAGGGATGTCTCCGAGAACGTTAGTTTTTATTTAATAATTACCTATGCCTCGTTTTTTTTCGGAACCTTGATTAAGATGTAATCAACAAAAACTGTTGACAACACAGTATGTAAAGAAGGTTCGGATCGTTCTTTGAGAAATCCACCCACGCCTAGATTAAAGTGTTAGATTCTTGAAGATGTTTTTTCATTCAATTTGTATTGACAATGGAAAAAATAAAGTAAAGATCTAATTTATTTCATTTATGTCTTATTGTTCCTGGGAAACGTTTGCTTGTTTGTTTAAAATGCTTGTTACTAAAAAATTGTTAAAAACTTGCTTTTTACCTACCTTTTTATGATTTCGATTTTCTGTTGAGGTAGTCATCTTACAGAAGTGACAGAGGTGATGTCCACTAAAATAATTGTTCGTATTTTCAGAAACACAGGTGAACTTTCAGAGCTGGTCACCATCAGAGGGTTTATGCTATTTGACGAAATCTTTCTGAGTTGCCGATGCTAATTGATTTGATTTGGTTTGTTATGGGAAAGCATTTTATGACTACCTTCCTAAGGGGAAAGATACTTTTGTAGAGGATTTTGTAAGAGGAACTGACTCATATCCACGTTACACACGGGAAAAACCACGAAAACTGCTATGCAGTCAGTTCGAGTCTCTGAAACTGAGCCCAGGTTGAACTATTAGTGTTCAGCGACTTTGCAATTCGGCCGCTATCGACCTGTTTCTAATTTAAAAGCTGAGTGAGAAGAAAATGCATCTAAAGTTAATGCATAAGAATGTTTAGACTAGTTTATTTTATGCTAATCAATTTACACCTTGCTTGAATAATATATCAAA